CAACTTCGTTGACCTATTCCGCGCCAGCGACTATGTCCTTGGGGTCGCAGCCCCGGGACAGTCGCGTGGGTTGGATCTATGACCTCTCGAAAGGGGAGCTCATGAGAACGATGGACCAGTATGGTTTGGTGACCACTGGTACTTCTGCGGAATTACGGCAGAGGTTCTCGTCGTTTTGGAAGCAGCGGAATGCCCGTCGGTACAGCGATGATCGGCTGTGTACGGCTGGGGCTGCTGCACCGACATTTTTACCGCCAGCTACTACAACTGTGGGGTTTCCTGACCCCCTTAGAACCGTACCTCAGGTACTGGGTAATACGGGATCGAATCAAGCAGAGATAGTGGGACTTAGCAGTGAGTTAGAGGCGGTTAAAGAGATCCTTGGGTTGTCTTTGGAGACTGATACCCGGACTCTTAGAGAACATCTGGCATCGGTGGTGCGACAGGCGAGGGGCTCGCCGAGTAATTAGGTCGGCTATGGGTTCGAAAGACCCGCCAACCCTACGTCCCCTGTTGTGGCTGCTCAGCTGTCTACCTTTGGGTTACCAAGTAGACCCGAGGGATGGCAGCGGCCCAATGATAATTCAGAGAGACCAGTCCGTCCTTCTAGCTTGGAGCTGCCACGAGGCTCGGGTATACTCTCGAATGAGGCCAGCAGGTCGGAGCCAAAGGATTGCTCCAAGATATGTGACATGGTCCGAAAGTGGGGTTTCAAGTTTGATGGACGTAGAGACCCTGTGTCATTCCTGGAGCGTCTTGAAGAGCTGATGGTCTCGTACGCTATAACATCAGAGGACCTGCTCAGAGCGCTGCCGGAGCTGTTGCAAGGCTCAGCGCTTCTATGGTACAGGAATTGCAAGGAGCTCCTGTATTCATTTGAAGCTTTCCGGCATCAATTTGAGATCCAGTTCCTTCCACCTGGTTATCAGAGGAATTTGGATGAGGAGATCCGGAAAAGGACACAGGGTGAAGGCGAGCACTTCCGGGACTACGTGGTTGCTATAAGTACCTTGCTTAGGCGTAGCGGTACGTTGTCCGAGCATGGTAGATTGGACTTGATCTACAACAACATGCGACCAGAGTACAAACTCATGGTGCGACGGCGGGACTTCCGCAATCTGGCCGAGATGGTTGAGTTAGCCGAAGACTACGAGGCCTATCTGCGAGAGAAGGCGGCCTTTAGACCTCCTCCTTCTCTGGACGTAGCGCTGGTTTTGGAAACCGCCTACACACCCAAAAAGAAGGTGGAGAAGCGCGCCGAAACTGCCGCCGTCGGGAAGCGGAGTTTCGAGAGACCATCTCCGGAAGCTGAGTCGCTTGGGCGGGTGGCTTCGAAGTCGGATCGGGTCCACGGTCAACGGCCCGTGACAGCAGCTAGAGCGCCTGAGGGTCCAAAGGGGACGGTGAAATGTTTTAGGTGCCAGGAGATTGGTCACTTTGCCCGAGAATGTGGTAAACCAAGGACCGTCTCCTGTTATGGGTGTGGCAAACCTGGTTTGACGGTGAGTCAGTGTGGATGTCGGGCGGGAAACGGCAGGCCAGCTCAGACATCAGGAGGTCAACTGGGCAAGGCCACCCAAAACGAACGACCTCAGAAGAGTGGTCCGAGTGGCTCGGAAAACTAAATAGCCTGGTTGGTGGAGTAGACGAGAACCGGCTGATTTCGGAGACAAGGCCCTTTGTTGAAGTTGTGCTGATGGGCAGCGTTTTTAAGGCATTATTGGACACTGGGTCCGTAGTTAACCTGGTTGGGCGAGAAGTCGCCGATCATCTTCAACGCCAGGGGGTAGAGCCTTTTAAGAAACCCGCTCCTCTAAGGATGGCAGATGGGTCATGGTCTAGAGCCGAGTATTCATTCCGATTGGCAGGAGAAGCTGCGGGAAGACGGTGGGTTGGAGACGCCTTGTACGTTCCCACTCTTACCACGGATATGATTTTGGGTATGGATGTCATACGAGATCTCGGACTTGTGACGGTCGTGACGGAGGTGATAAGAATGGGCGTGGGTGAGTACTGTTCTGGTCAAGTGGGCCGCATGGACAGTGTCAAAATTGGTGACGAAGACCCCGAAGGCCCTTGCAATGGAAATCCCCGTCTGGTTCCTGATGCCAAATCATTCAGCACTATGGTGGCTGGTAGTGGCTAGAGCGAGAGTTTTTCTTTGTTTTAAGTTTGAGACCTGTGGTGTAGGGTTCACCATTGGGTTAGGGGTTGGAGTATTTTGTTTTGGCCGGAGTTCAAAGATTTTTTTTTCTTTTTGGCCGTTTTCTTTTTTTTTCATCCCGATGTAAGTGGGGGATGTAACGAGTTATTTTTCCTAGGGGGGTAAATATTTGCTATTTGGCCGCGCACCGATTGTTGAGGTAGGCAAGCGGCGGCGGCGAACCTGGCTAGCGCCCTTTGACCCGGCTTATCAGTGCCGATAAGCCTGGGATATCCTAGTTTCTCAGGATAGCCTAGGACAGACATTCTAGTCGTGGATCCCGGACAGTGAGGATAGTGTGGTGTCTTGTGGGTGGAGACGACTAGGATACGTCGGTGGTGTACGGTGTACGTAGAGAGGAGCGTACGTGACAGTGGTGTCGGAGTACGTTGGTGGTGTGATCGCGCCGAGTGTTGGTGTAAGTTGGGTGTTGAGACGCACTGTTGGTGAGTGGACGACGTTCCTTACATTTTGGTTTAAGATTTGATTTATTAATCTTACATTTTATCGGTTGAGTTGTAACTGTGCTGGTTAAAGCCTGATGGTAGTTAGTATTTACAGGTGTCAGGAATAATATTAAAGTATATTCCTGACGGTTCTGGGCAGGTGCTAGAGCGCAAATAATATAATTTATTTGACTGTAGTAGATGTTATTTTGCGTTGTACCTAGAGCTAGTTATATTACTAATAACTCTGAGGCCCGACAAACCTAGGCTGCACGATTTAGCGTGCGTAGTTGGAAGCACGAGGCCAGTAGGCTAGTAGCTAGTTTTATTAGCCTATTAACAGAAGCCCGGCTAAGCAATATAATGTTGATATAGTAGCAGTAGTGGTAGTAGCAGTAGGGTTGGTATTGATTAATCTTTTAATTATTTTAATTTAACCTGAACAGCTTGCTTAGTAATCCAACACGTTAGCTTGGTAGCTTGACCGTAAGCGGAGTACCGGCTATCAGATAATATATTTATCTAGTGTTTGGAACGTATTTAATATTTATTTATCTGCTACTAAGTAGCTCAATATTTTAATAGTGCAATTGCCATTTAGTTTTGCTTGGTTGGCTTGGTATTTATTGAGACCAGCTACTAGTGGTGTAGTCACTCTACCTATAGTGTACTTGTATATTATTATGTGGTACGATTATTGAGTGAAGTGTTTGATTGTTAGCTTGGGCATTAGAGTTGTGTATTGGATTATAGTGGCCTAGTAGACCCCGCCTGGTGATAACACGCGTTGTGGTTTTTATTGGCAAGTCGTCGTGTAACTCACCGTGTTTTAGGCACTCTGGGCTTAACTATTGGATAGTTAGGACGAAGCCCGAGTTGCGTAGTCAGCAACGACCCCCTAGGAGTGTGGAGAATCGGCGTAGGCCTGGTAGTGATTATTGCACGTTTGTTTTGGTGACTTGTTTTTTACTTGTTCACAGTGCCTGTGTATGAGCCAGTCCTATACCGGTTAGACCCGGCTTTTGGCCTAGTGGTTTCCCTGGCCTTGTCGCAGACCCTGGAACTTTACCCAGCCATTGTAGGCTGAGCTATCCCCGGCAAACGGTTGCGACTGCACTGCACTTTTAATATTATTTTCCCAGTGCAGAAAACATCGTCGCACATTTTTGAAACTAAGAGGTCCAATAAAATGTTGTTCCTTAAACCAAACACGGATGTGTAATTTACTTTGTACTTACACCAAACTTTTTTGTCACACTGAGTACCAATCACCCTGTATATATTGTGTACTTGTAACGTACTTCAAGTTACCGTAGCTTTTTCACATTTAGAGAAAAGGAGCTATTGTGTTTTTCTACAACACTGCTTTAATTTTACCATGGAGAATATCACAAAACTGAGCTGTACGCAAAACCCCTTTTGCTACTAAAATCAATTACATTTTTTTAACCATATTTCTTTACTCAATGGTTGGTGTGTAAGTTAATGTAAATACAATGATCTAAGTAACGAGTTCAAAAGTTCAGTAGTTAGGCTACGCCATAGGCCTATCTATTTTATGTGAAATCATTATTGTAAATTGTTTTTCTTTTTCTTTAATACAGTATCCTATGTTGTGCAATTCTTTTTTACTCATTAACTTAATATGTACGTTTTAAACTTGTAAGCGTATCATTTGAAAATAAAATGTTACAGTATACATGCATCAGCACATCATATAATTTTTACTAGACAGCCTTATAAGTTATCCTAGCTTTAAAGAAAGACATTTTTGAAACTAAGAGGTCCAATAAAATGTTGTTCCTCAAACCAAAGACGGATGTGTAACTATTTTATACGGCAGATTTAAAAATCAAATTTTTCTCTATACAATGATTTCATAGATGTATCATCACATGTATCATAAGTAAGTATTCACCTCCTGAGTTACCAAAAAACATACGTTTATCAAGGTGAGTAGTGGAGTTAAATTTAGTTTATAAATTAAATGGTGCATTTGACACAATTTTTACGGAATTTTTAAAGAACCAACATTGTCTTATTCGCATCCTGACCCCGTTGCAAGGCACGAGTATAGCGGCTAGAATTCTATAATTAATTATAACATCCATTCGTTTGTTTTAAAATTTGCCCGTCCATTAAAACTGCAATTATATGATTTATAAATACATGTTATAGAGGAAAAACTTCCTCAAAAGATTTCATAGATCCTAAGTTATAATACTAAGTTATATACTTATAATCGTAGTTCCTACAATATTACATTGAATAAAATTTATACGATAAACACCTCTTACATTCAAAACCGAAGTTTGATTAATCTGATTACTCATCTATTTTGGTGTTTTTAGGTAGCATATGAAAAAAGACATGAAAATTACAACGATGTAGTTCTAGTCACTATGTTTCACAACTTCGAGCCAGGTTGCAAGTATAAAGATTTCAACAACGAGGATTGCGTGGATTTAACAATAAATCGTGCACTATTGGTGAGTAATTAATATATGTATAAATGGTTAGAATTCTTTTAGTAAGACTATGCATAACAAGTTATAACATGTTGTAGCTCACGCTGATAATGGGCTTACACATTGACTATACAGGGTGTATATAAAGTCCCGCACGGGCTTAATATTTTTGGATAAGATAAAAATAAGGTAAGATTAAGATTTCCTTCTGACTCCTTGCGGAACGTCCCAATGATATGACAGAAAATTCGTAGTTCCTTGAAAAAGTCGATTTTTAAGTGTGGTGTTGATGAACCAAATCTAACTGATTTATCTATTGTCGTTCAGAAAATATTAAGCCCATGCGGGACTTTATATACACCCTGTTTAATACTAGTGTTATATAGTCAATGGCTTACATCAACAAAAAGGATAATTATGTAGATTGATTTCACAGCAATGAAAGCCAGTTGAGCGGAGCGATCACGTTTCATGGTTTTTTAATAAAGCAATAAATTAAAAAATATATATAGATATAATACAAAATACAAACTTTCATTAATTTAACTTATCAGTTTCGCTCAGAACTATCAACATCTATGTATAACAAGTTGCATAAGTAAAGAGGTTACTACATAACATACATACATAGCATCATTTGTATCGGTATTTTTTCCTGTGTTTGCTTACTAATGTCATCTGCTGAGCCCACAGTTCTGGTCAGTAGTGGCAATAGAAGAATATGAAGTAACTGGAGACGTTTTAGAGGCTATACGGGGGCATTTTTTTCTACGAGAAAAATTGGGGATAATTTTTTGGCCACCAAAACCAAAAATCCTTATCAAAAATCCTGACGTAAATATGACAATGGAAATAAGCGAGAAAGTCTGAACATTTTTATTAACCAAAGAGAAAACTGAATTAACACTGTGCTGCATTTCTTGAGCAATCATTGAAAGAGTAAATTTTCAAACTATGAAAACATAGGAAAGTCATAGAACACCACCAAGTAAAAGAAATTTAAACTATGTTGTTTTTTTAGAATTTATAATCTTTATTATGGACAACCTAATGCGGCTATGAGTGGGAAATTTTTGTAGGAAACACTAAAAAACTAGATCAGCTTTTGAAAAATGATAAGATATTTACAATAAATGTTGTTTATTTCAAACTGTTATGTACATCGTGAGTATTTCCATTATCTTTGAGTCGACTCTTTTAAAGTCATCGAAAACTATTTATTAGTTTTAAAATAACGCCTATAATACTTCGAAATTGCTCAAATTCGAGCAACAGGTACACTAGTATCTATTAAATGTATGTATCTGATAGCATAACACGGAAAAGTCACTCTAATTTCGTAACATCAAATAAAAAGTTTAAAGTAATTTTCGTCACTTTCAAAAGATTTATTCAAATTAAAATTACTTTCTTCCTCTTGTCGGTAGTTTTTTTACAGTTTGACAGTCTACACGCATTTTACATTTTACATTTTATCCATTCTAGAACATGATGGAAGTTTGTATGACTTAAAACAGGAGCAACTACAAACTCTGAAACATATTTTTCTGCACTCAGTTATTCTTTAAACTGTATATTTTAAAATTTAAATTAGGTTACTCATCTTTTCAGTCCAATCTATTTATGTGATGATTCAAATAGAAGATAATTATTTATTACACTGCATAACTCTTCTGTTTGTTATCTCGAATGTACATACAGGGTGTTAGGTAGTCAGTGTCAAAGATTGTCTGACATTATTATACACCTAAATTATGTTAAAGATACGCAATTTGGATATTTGTATCTCATACGAAGTGAGGACGAACGAAGCAATCCTTGATGATGTGGAAAATAATCTAGCACTATAGCACAGAAAACATACTTTATAGTGTGTATACCGTAAGGTGGCGCACGGGCCCATCAGCTACCAGGGTTGGTCATTAACTCCCCTAGGCGCTCACAGCTGTTTCCTTGATTAGTCACCAACTAGCATCTCAAATAAAATAACTTATTTCTTTTTCTTTCTCATAATACCTCAATAAAAATATAATATTCGTAAACTTTTAAAAATACTGAGAATATTTACATAAAACAATATGTGTTTCAATTTAAAAATTCAAAATTGCCGAGGTTTAACATTTCAATTGTAATATAATTTACTTTGACAACACTATTTTTCACTTGATACAATTTGAGACAATATTTAATTTTTTCTATACTATACTGGAAAAGGGAAGTGTTTAAAAAATATATTACACTAAGTTATTTAATAATTTAAAATGCCATTATACAGGCTACTCTACTGATTGAAAATATATGTCGTAATGTTAATATTATTAAGTAAAGCACTTTTTAATTTTTTATGAGTGAGTTGGGCTGTAATGTTGTATGAATTACAACAGGATTTTTAGGGTTTTTAATAAGTATTTGTATTGTTATAAGGACATTTAAAGCAATAATTGATTTTGTAAATGTTTTGTTATATATTCTAAATGATGTTTTAAAACGTGCTATGAATGTTTTGGTTTAGCTATCTTGTTGTGACTGATTCAGTAATATTTAAAAAAGAACTGAATTTAATGTGCTAAACTATTTTTTTTTCTGAAAGTCTAGGTCAATTATAAATTTGGCCACAGTTTGTAAATATGCTTTTACTTTGAATATATTTGTATAAATGATACATAGTGTATCTAGTCCATTTAATGACACTTTGGCTGATTAAATAGGATGAGATAACACAGTTTTATACCATCCATCCCTTTTCAAAGTACTTAAAAAAATATCTTCTCAAGATTACGATAACATACGAAGTTTTACACTCTCTCTGAAACGGTTGCGAGTGCCGAGGGGAGATAAGTTACCGACCCAGGTAGCTGATGGGCCCTTGCGCCACCCTACGGTATACAGACTGTAAGTACTAGGGACGTTGCCAGAGATATTAATATTGCTAATTAAAAATGTAGGGACGTTTTGAAAAAAAAACACGTTCCAATCTTTCCAGCATTTGACACCTGTTCAAGAAGAATCTGACTTTGCCCCAAGAGTTATTCCAACTACTCCTTAATACTGACATAAAGAAGTATAATTTAATCAAAAATATTCTATGGCCTGACGAATCATTAAACAAGATCTTTTAAATCAAGACTCTAAAGGCACATCTTTTCCATTACTTTATCTGGTTTTATCAAATTAAATGATTTTTTTTCCTTTACAATAGTTTAAATCATAAATAAGAGGTAGCACTTATTTAAATATTACTGACTTGTGTGTGTATCAAATACTCTACTTGGTATTCAGTGCACTAATACTAGCTTAAATTGTAATAAGATTTACGTTTTTACAATTTTTACTTGAGGTATACCTAGTGATGTAAAATACCCAGGTATTTAAAACTTGGGGTAAATACCCTGGGTATTTCCCGGGTAATTACCCAAAATCCATAAATACCCGGGTATTTTGGGTATTTATGAAATCGATTGAAATTCGTTTTTATCTACCCCTAAATGTGTTATTGTTATCATTACATGATAAATTAGGATAGTCTACACCTTTTATAGTAACTTGAAGCTTTGCTAGTACCTTTTATTTAATGATTTAGCACTTTTTTTATGAAATGAAGACAACACCTCATCAGAGAAATAGTGAACCTAAACCTAATTCTACTGTTATTAAATTATGATAGTTAAAATTTGTATTGTGTAAATGGCTTGGAAGGCTAGACAGACCCGAGGCCTGATTGATATAGGCCTAGGCAGAATGGCAGAATACTGAAAGTACAGTAGACTCCGTCTTATCCGGACCGAGGCTAGTCCAGATAACGGTTTTTCTGGTTAAACCGACGTCCCCAAAAACTTGTTAAAACGGAAACCGTGGACCAGTACTGTCATATTCGACTTTAATTTAGGAGAGCATTGTATTTAGATACGTGATCACTGGTCTCAAATCTTTCCCACGAGAACAGTAGTTTTAGTACCGCTCACTTCTTGCCAATCTAGTCAGGTTAAACCAATGGGCTGATAAAAATTGTCCGGTACAACGCAAAATAATATCTACTACAGCCAATTAAATATATTATTTGCGCTTTAGCACCTGCCCAGAACCGTCAGGAATATACTTTAATATTATTCCTGACTAATAAATAAATCCTAACTATCGTCAGGCTTTGGCTAGCACGGTTACAACTCAAACAATGAAATCAGAGATGAATGTTTTAGTAACAACTATCAGCTCTTAAACCAAAATGTAAGGAACGTCGTCCACTCACCAATAGTGGGTCTGTACCCAACTTACACCAACACTCGGCGCGATCACACCACCAGCATACTCCGACACCACTGTCACGTACACCACTGGACGTCTCACTAGACACACGCTCGCTCTTCACTGCACGGGATCCACGACTCGAATGTCTGTCCTATACTGTCCTGAAGATCTAGGATATCCCAGGCTTATCGGCACTGATAAGCCGGGTCAAAGGGCGCTCGCTAGCCTCGCTGCCGCCGCTCGCTCACCTCAACAATCGGTGCGCGGCCAAATAGCAAAAATATACCCCCCTAGGGAAAATAACTCGTTACATCCCCCACTTACATCGGGATGAAAAAAAAAGAAAACGGCCAAAAGAAAAAAAAATCTTTGAACTCCGGCCAAAACAAAATACTCCGGCTCTTAACCCAATGATTCCTCTTTTACCACGGGTCTCAAAGCAAAACAAAAACAAAACTACTTGATTAAACAAAACATCAAAAGAATAGCAAGCACAAACATGCTATCTAACCAACCAAGAATGACTAAGCATCGGTTCTTTCATGGTAGGTCTTAAGGTCTTTAACATGGACGACATGGGTCTCTCTCCTACCCTCGTCCTTTACCTCATACATATTAGGGGCCACTCGCTTGACTACGGTACAAGGACCCTGAAACTTAGGGGCCAGTTTGCCCACTATAGCTTCAGCCGCTGAGGACAAGACATGTAGTCTTCTCATGACTTGATCACCTTGATGGTATTGCACCTCACGTCGTCTAAGATTATAATATTTAGA